TCATGCACGCCTCCTTAAAAGACTTTTTCTCAGGAATTATTTCAAAGTCCAACATCAAGTCAAAAGTTAGAGAACTTTATGAGCTGAAACAAAATGCTTAATTTGTAGTGCTGCTTGATTACAGAAAGCTGAAATAACCTTCATTGTGTACTGTGTCTCATGGAATAGCTGTGGAGGGGGTGCTGATCATTCCTGGCTGTGATGCTGTACGCCTTTCCAGAATACGTACACGTCTGTAGCCTAAAGGGGGAGGAGGAGGAGCAGGACCCAGAAGAGTTTACTTAGGAGGTAGGATTGCTCTCTGACATTCCTTTCAGATAAGCGGATGTCGTCTTCAGGGCATCTGCAAACACTTTTTCTGAGGCTTTAATAGTTGGAATCTAGCACTGTCCAACATAAATACCAGCACTTCCCTCTCCGTACTAGAAAGTTCCCTTTGGGGTAAGAGCAGCCCACTCATTCAACAAAACCTTCCACAGAGGAAAATAATTAACATGACTGGGGGGCCTTTACACGGTGTGATCTGTGCACGGACCCCCTGCTGATCAGAACAGATGTCACCGTTGTGAAATCCATGTCCGTACAGTTTTTTCCTCCATCTTACGATGAAGAAAAAAAACTGAGATGACCAGACCCCGTGTCGGCCTATGGGGAATCAGATGTAAATGGACAGACATTACCCCGATCTGGCACAATTAGGTCCGGCAAAACGGAACTCTGATCTGTTTGTTTTTCCGGACCTGGCCAGAGTCGGGGATAACCGCATGCAAAAGGGCACCCATTCATTTAGATCTGGCCGCCTATAGACTAACATTGGGCTTCCGATCAGATCCGTCTGGAAAACTGACAGGGCCTGATCAGACTGCCTGTGTGAAAGGGATCTTAAGCTGCCCACTCACTGATTTCACACAAAGTTTCAAACAAAAAAATCTCATCAGAACACTTCATAATGCCATCAGAGACCCGACGAATGTTGTTTGAAATTTTATTTGATTTTAACATTCGATTTGGAATGAATGGAGCTAACTGAACAAAAACCACATTCACCGTTACAAATTCATGTGTTTGAGAAACATTTTCCATCCTGCTCCTTAGATTGTTTTTCATCACTATTGCTGAAATTGTTTGTCAGTTTAACTCCATTAATTATAGGAAAATAGAAACGAATGTTCCAAAAAAGATTTTTTGCAAATAAAATGCTACTTGTGTATGGCCAGCCGAACTATTGTGACAAATGTGGGTGTGCAACTGTTAGAATACCCGATTGGCTGCAGTCACTGTTCAGCTGAGATACTCCAGACCGGCTCCTTTGACAAAAGTAGACTAAAACTGGAGCAAACAGAATCTGGAGCAGTTGCCCATGGCAACCAATCTGCATCTCTCTTCAGTTTGCGCAGGTAAGATTTGAAAATGAGAAATTTGCTGCAGATTTTGATAAATTCCCCCACTGTGTGTTTACCTGTGATTAGGTGCGTTTAGCTCCGTTTAGAGAAAAATTATTTTTGTGCGTTAGGGGAGGATTAAAATACTCAGAACATGTCTGAATGTAAACGCATAAACACACAAACATTCTGAGCATTTTGCCGAGCAAATCCCAAAGCGCAATGGCACTCAAGATGAAGAATCCCATCATTCTCAATGGGCCTGTTCACACCTGAGCGTTGTGTTGCTTGTCGTCTGTGTGACGCTAGATTAGGTACATGAGCTTCTTCTTTTGGCCCCATAGAGCTTAGTGGGAGCCAACATGTTTTTCAGGCACTTCCATTTAAAAGTCTACAGAGCAACACATACAATGTGGCTCCTGTACCGCAAGTCACTTGCACAAACACTTCTAAATCGCCAGGCTGCACTCACACTTATTTGTGAATGGGGCCTGACACGCAGGAGGATCTAATCTGGGAAGAATGAAGTTTATTATACTTCCCAGATCATTTCTCCTGCATTTAAACTCAAAAAATCTAATTCTACCAATGCATCCCTCTATGTATGATGGTTAATAATAACAGACATGTCAGGTGTAAAATGCTGTGATTTTGGAATACTTACACTTGCAGAGTATTCACTTCCTGCTTTGAAAGGGCAAAATGACTTCAGTGTGGCAAAGCAATGCACACTGGGATTGCCTTGTCACCAGCAGAGCATTGCTGAGAAATCTCATCTGTAATCTCATGAGGTCTCAGGGAAAGGCATTTACCTCCCCTGAGATGATGTGCATGGTCACATGTCCTAGTCACATGTGCCAGTAGACTAGGAAGTAATAGGAGATCTAGCAATCTGCCCTTAGTAAACATGGCCACAGTCAGACGACTGTGAAGAAAAGAGAAATGAGGAAATGAGGTGTGCAAAGAATACAAAGCCGGCAATTATCTTGGTGTGTAGATTGTCATTACTACAAATTTCTAAAGGTGTGTTTGTTGTTATATTAAAGATCTGGGGAAAGGGCTGATTCACACCAAATACGCAGGCTGTTTATTCCGGCACAGCCCCAACGCTAGACAAAGCAAGTTACCTTGTCACTGATGGGCACAGTGCATGCAGTACTTTTCTTGCGTACTTACTATGCGATACAACTGCAGTGGTTGGGTGTTGCAGCGCAGCTGCTGGTGTGGATCCGGCCTAAATCAACCAAACGCAGGACGCCTGTGTGAATAATGTCACCTAAGGCCCCTTTCATACAGGCTGATCAAAAGGGGGATCTGTGCACAGGTCCCTTCCTGATCAGAACAGTACGGAGCAGATTTCACAGCTGTGACATCCATGCCCATCCAGCTTTTCCAGAACTAAAACTGCCAGACCCCATGTTGGTCTATGGCAGGGGTAGGCAACCTTGGCTCTCCAGCTGTGCTGAAACTACAAATCCCATAAGGCATTGCAAGCCACAGGCATGACTCCCAGAGGCAAACGGATCATGGGATTTGTAGTTTCAGCACAGCTGGA